TACTAACCCAGTTGTTAAGTGAATCTGGCTACCCCATTGACTTTGCTTGTCAGAAGATAACAAAAATGATTTAATTTAATTTAATTTAATTTAATTTAATTTAATAATTTAATTTAATTTAATTTAATTTAATTTAATTTAATTTAATTTAATTATTTAATTTAATTTAATTTAATTTAATTTAAATACTGCCCTTCTCCCGAAGGACTCAGGGCGGTGAATAACCAGAAGTAAAAAAACATCAAATACAAAATATAAAAACAATTTAAAATGAATTAAACAATTTGGCCCAACAGTTAAAATCCCCCATTAAAATCCAAATTAAAATACACAATTGGAGAGATTAGGCCAGCCCAACTTGATGAAATAAAAAGGTTTTGAGGGCCCGACGGAAAGTACGTAAGTCCGGAATCGTCCGTATCTCCGGGGGGAGCTCGTTCCAGAGGGCAGGTGCTCCCACAGAGAAAGCTCTCCCCCTGGGGGCCACTAGTCGGCATTGTTTGGTCGACGGCACCCGGAGGAGCCCCTCTCTGTGGGAGCGTACTGGCCAGTGGGAGGCTCTCGGTGGCAGAAGGAGATCCCATAAATATCCCGGCCCTAAGCCATGGAGTGCTCTAAAGGTGGTCACCAATACCTTGAATCGCACCCGGAGGACCACCAGGAGCCAGTGCAGCTCACGCAGGAGAGGTGTTAAATGGGAGCGCCATGACGCTCCCATAATCACCCATGCGGCCGCATTCTGGACCAGTTGGAGCTTCCGGGTGCTCTTCAAGGGGAGCCCCATGTAGAGAGCATTGCAGTAGTCCAGGCGGGAAGTGACGAGGGTATGTGATCACATGGGACATAGGGCATGTGATCACATGGGATGGAGCAAAGGTCATAAAGATGAATCAGTTGCCAATCATCTAAATTTTGATCACATGATTATGGGGCTACTACAGAGGTCGTAACTCTGAAAAAAACAGTCATAAGTAACCTTTTTCAGTACTGTTGTAAATTTTTCAGTGCCATTGTAACTTTGAACGGTCACTAAAGGAACTGTTGTAAAACAAGGATTACCTGTATTTTACTTCAGTGTCCATCACCACGAAACTGGCTGAAGAGCACTGAGAAATGAAATGAAAGCTATTCTGAATGCCAGGTCTGCCAGGCAGCTTAGCATGATATATAAATATGGTCAGAATAGATTTATAATTATAATAAAACTTGGTTTTGCAGAACTAAGTGAGGCACAGGATATCTGTAATTCCCTAAAGTCTGTTCAGTCAAATAGCACTTCATTGCAATGATGTAATTGATGGAAATTCATCATTTGCATCATTATGTCATCCACATGATGAGATTGTTCTTCTCCACTTATTGCATCTGCAGACTCTTGCCTGGAAGCCTTATTCAGAGTTATTGAGACTCTTAAGAAAAGATGGGTAAGACAAAGCTTCTTCAAGCATGATGGATGAATTTGTGGGTTTCTTGGTAAATAAAGTTGCTTGAATTTCCTCTACCAATTGGACGGTGTCCACTGTGATGAACAAGGTGGAATGGAACGAAACAGAACAGAACAGAATAGAATAACAGAGTTGGAAGGGACTTGGAGGTCCAACTCCCTGCTTAGGCAGGAAACCCTACACCACTTCAGACAAATGGTTATCCAATCTCTTCTTAAAAACTTCCAGTGTTGGAACATTTACATCTTCTGGAGGCAAGTTGTTCCACAGATTAATTGCTTTAACTGTCAGGAAATTTCTCCTTAGTTCTAAGTTTCTTCTCTCCTTGATTAGTTTTCACCCACTGCTTCTTGTCCTACTCTCAGGTGCTTTGGAGAATAGTTTGACTCCCTCTTCTTTGTGGCAGCTCCTGAGTTATTGGAATACTGATATCATGTCACCCCTAATCCTTCTTTTCATCAGACTAAACATACCCAATTCCATCAACCGTTCTTTATAAGTTTTAGGTTCCAGTCTCCTAATCATCTTTGTTGCTCTTCTCTACACTCTTTCTAGAGTCTCAACATCTTTTTAATATCGTGGTGTGTATTATTGAGATTCCTTTCATTAGTGTAGTGTTCAAATAAATGAACAGGTTTAGGTGTGGTATGGAGTCCTGATACCTGTGAACTGGATCCATATCTCTCCAGCTTCTTTGGACAGCCAGTAGGGTGTAAGTGACTTGATAAGGAGACTGTCAATGCTTTTTTGAAAGTGTGAATAATGCTACCTACCTTGGTGGAACCCAGTTATTGAAGTTCCTAGAAAAAACAGATTATCTGTATTTCTGAATTCATGCTCAAATCAAAATGACATTGCAAAAATGACATTGTTAGCTATAGTGGATGACTTTTGTTGAAATATAGTTGAATATAGAGACCCTCTTAGTCTCTTTGGACTTTTTGGTGATATTTCATATCATCACTCATGGCATTTTGCTGAATCATTGGCAAGGGGTGGCAATTGGGGGGCATTGCTTGAGAGTAGTTTTCTTCTATCTGAATTGTGGAAAACCAGCACTTACATTTCTGGTTGCTTTAGTGTGATGTTTAGCAGAGGTCTTTTCCTCATGTTATCTAATATTTACAGTATATGAAGCTGGTGGAAAAGGTCATTTGTCAGTTCAATATACTGATGACACTTAACTACCGTATATTTTGCCATCATGGGCCAAACCAGAGCTGCCCTGGAAAGGTTGAATTAATATCTGTCAGGATCTGGAGGGATCCAGAATCTTGATTTAATCGGTTCAGATTAAATTTTATCGAGACCAAGTTGTTTTCCATCAATTCACATTAGAGTGAACTGATAAAAGGGATGCTGATAGTTACTTTAGATATACACAAAGAAGTTGGTTTGTTGTGGGAATGGTGTAATCTCAGTTGTCGGCAAACCGTGCTGGGTAAACAACATTAGCACAAAGTCCTAATCTCATCAAAGACAGGATGTCTGGCAGAGACCCTATATCAAGATATGCAAGGAATAGAGACCCAACACATAGGCATTGTTTGTCACAGGAAATAACATGAGGGAAATACGAGGGATCCATATGGAATTCACGAGCTTTCTTTAGCCAATCAGGACAAGTAAACGTTGATTGATGTTTTGCCATGATAGTTGTAAAATGACAATAAAAGGAAGCCTTTTGGATGGGGTGAGTGTGCCTTCCCCAAGGTACCTTCACACCGAGGGGCCTTCCCATGAATCATCATCCTGCCTACGCGTCTTTTTTCATTGAAACAACAGTTTGTGAGTTGGAGCTCATCCAGGTCTTTATGGTGAAAGTTGTGGCCAAGGAGGTATTTACCTAGGAATAGTTGGCATGCCAGTGCAACCCTTTCTGTTCCAATATCAGCTTACTCAAGCCTTAATTGCCATGCATTTAGATTACTGCAGTGCATTCTGCATGGTCTTTGAAGATGCCTTAGAAACTGAAACTTCAGAATGTAGTGACTAGATAATTGGCCAGATAAATTCACAATTATAGCTAGTATCAATTACAAGATCACTACATTGGATATTAATATGCTTCTAGGTCTAATTTAAAGGGCTGGTTTTTATCTTCAAAGCCTTTTCTGGCATAATACTTTGGTACATCAGGTACTGGGCTCAACAGGGTTGATTCTGCTTATCTGATCTGAACATCTTGAGAGAGCCTCCTAAAGTAATTGGGTAGATGGCAGCTCTTCTCTGTAGTGGCTCCTATGCTCTGGAACATGGCTTTCTGAATATAGCCTTCTTCTTCTTTGCAATATGCAAGGTAGTGAAAACATTCTTATTCCACCAGGGCAGGGGTATTGAACTCTATTTCATTGAGGGCTGCATCAGGGTTGTGTTTGACCTGGGGGGGGGCTGGGGGGGCGTGGCCAGCTCAATGTCACTCATGTTGGGAACCCGTGGTGGCCTGAGCTCTCTGCCAGCAAAAACGGACCCCCGAGCTCCGTTTTTGACTGACAGCTTCCTGCAACCCTCTGCCAGCGAAAATGGAGCTCAGGAGGGCCATGTGCAGCCTCCCAAACTCCATTTTCGCTGGCAGAGGCTAATCAACTTCCTCTTGTAAAGGCCTGTCTAATCTGTAGTTACTTATTTGTTATTTATTTGATTGATCTATATTTCATCTTTCTGATCAGAAGTTACTCGATGGAATGGCATTTGTTTAAAATATCAGTTTGGTTCCTTCCATTTTAGAAGGAAAAAAAAATGATACCTACTGTATGTGGTTGCTAAGATTTGAAAATGACTTGATGGCACATAATCAGTCCTTCCATTTTTAGATGGTAATTTAAGGCCAGTTTGTTTGAACTTTTGATTAATTGCTGCTACTTTGGGAATATTATCTTGTGGTTTTGTTCATTTTTTAATTGTGAGACTGATCGGTCCTATGTAACTGTATTTAAAAGTAAGACCCAATGGAATTACATGCAGTAAATTAATGTAGATACAGAATATCTTGCTCTTTGGATATCCATTTTGAACAGAATAATAGAAGCAATATAAATTTTAAAAATCAATAACAGAACTCTGATAATGTGAGTGAGATTCATGGCAGAAATATATTGTAGAGAATAAACATGAGATCGATAGCAATCCCTGCCCTGTGGAAAACAGATCCAGAAGGCCATCCTATTAGCTCTCTAGAAAATCTTGAAAAGCTGGTTCGTTTCCCCCCAACTTCAGGTTAGGGGGAAACTGAAGCCTAGACAATGTGATTGTTTATGTAGAGAGGGAATTTTTTTTAGGAAATTGAGAGTTGTTTTGGATGTTAGTTTTAGATTTTCTGTTATATTTTTATTTGCTGCTTTATGAGCCAGCTAGGATTATGGTATGTATGTATTGTCTCAATTTATATGATAATCCATCTCAAATATTTAGCCAAGGTAAAAAGCAAAACAAACAACAAACTGGTACAGTTGGTGAACGGGCCCTGCCCACATGAAGATCCCCAGGTATATAAAATGAGCCATATAAATCAAACAAATTTTCCTATTTGATAATGTAATATTGCTTTGATTTCAGATAAACATCACGTGAATGGGAACAGTATGGTTGAACCCTTTCCAGAGAGAATGCACATGGCAATATTTGGTAAGTTCAGTTTGTCTAATATTGAGACTTTATTTCTGACTAGACTTATATTAAATTATGCTGTTTTTCTATTATTAATATTAATGAATATCACCATAATTCTTTGCTTCAAGAAACTGTTTGCCACTATTATCTCCTTTTAAAATAACTCATCCAAGTATGGATGAATTCAAATTTTCAATATACAGTCTAGTCTTTAGACTTGTTAATAGAAAGACCCCTCCAATACACACAGATATGGGTATTGTACCCGGTATGAAAAATGAGTGAAAATTGCGATATGGAATGAGGAAGCCAGTTTGATATAGTGGTTAGAAACTGGGAGACTGAGTTCTAGGCCTGCCTTGGGAACAAAGCTAGCTGGGCAATTTAGGGCAGACACCCTTTCTAAGGCCTAGGAAGCAAGAAAAGGCAAATTGCTTCTGAAATTTTGCCAAGAAAATTGAGGGACATGTCCATGCAGTAACCAGGAGTAAAAACTGATCTGAAGGTAGACGCGCACAAAATTAAATAAAGGATTGATATACTAATGGATTAAAGCTCAAACTTACTGCATTATAATAAAGAATATATTCACTATTGCTCCTAGTTTTTTTTTTTAGAAGGGAATGGCAAAAGATATTAATCATTATTGTGTTTAGCCAGAAGCCATTTTAAACATTACAGGGTGCAAATATAAATGTGGTTCTTAGAAATCAGTAGAAATCAAATATACCTCTATGATTAAGGATTTTTAGTCAATGGTTTGCACTGACTTAGCTGTTTCTCAAAAGGGATTTATGTTTTATTATCTTAATGGTAATTTACAACCTTGTAAAGAATTTAGTTATGATAAGGCTTATGGAATAACTTGACAGTTGAATGGAACTTTGAAATATCTAATTTGTAGAGAATTAAGATTGTGTTTATAGGAGAAAGAGTGGCCGAAGTTGGGGACAGAATTAAAAGAGGAATCAGACTAGAATCCCTACGTAGCCACCAGTGGACTAGGGCCAACTCCCCTTAAATTTCATTGACCCTTATCTAACTCCAAGTAGGTGCTAACCATTAGTCGTAATATGAGAGACTTATTATATATTTATTTACAAGATTGTTCATTGCCTCAATCATGAGACTTTGGGTGAGATACAACACCCAAACACATTGAACAGAAATAAAAGAGAATCGGTACATCATGCTCCCACCCCACAAATTGCAAACAAGTACACAGATGTCTGCTATTATTCATAGTGGGGCTAAAGTTTGATAGGATCTTCCATCTTGGAGTGGTCTGGAAAAGCACAGATTGCCCCAGCAGATTACAAACACCTGTCCTGTAGAGCTTCCTTCCCTTCCTGAGTATCAGGATGATCCAGCAGCTGCCAATCAAAGAGCAGTTAGGTGGGGTGGAGGAGAGGAGAGGAGAGGAGCGGGGGTGGTTTGAGATATTTGCCTGGAAACTCTGCAGTCTTCTTCCTCCCTCAGACCTAATGGGAACTAGTTATTTCTCTCAGCTGGAGCCAAAAGTAGAAAAAGGAGAACAGTCAAACAAGCCAAGCAGAAAAAACAAGCAGAAAAGCCAAAGAAAAAATAAAGACTTTGACAGAACAGAAATAAAAAACAAAAACTAAAAAAGAAAGTAAGTATAAGATCTTCCAGGTAAACCAGGCAGGAAACCAACCATCTGGATGAGCTATGTTAACAGAATCTTGCAAGTCTGAAAGTACAAACTTCCTGCCACCACTTTTAACTGATTGATCCATAAGGGTAGGTCTTTTCTAAATTTCTTTCTTTTTCTCTAATATTTTGTAAGATATTAGGGTTTCCTGTCCCACTTAATTGACTGTTTACCAGGCAGCATCTCTTTCCTTTTTCCCTGAAGGTCATTCCCATATTTCATTATATAAAGTTGAACCCTATAGAAAAGGAATATAGTTCTAGAGAGATAACAGGGATATAAAGAGTTTAAGACAAAATAAATATAGAGATCAGCAATACAGAATAGAATGGTATTATAATACAGGTAGTCCTCAATTTACGACCACAATTGAGCCCAGAATTTATGTTGCTACTGTAAGTGAAAAATTTGTTAAGTGAATTTTGCCCCATTTTACAAATTTTTTTGCCACATTTGTTAAGTGAATCACTGCAGTTATTAAATTAGTAACACGGTTGTTAAGTGCATCTGGCTTCCCCGTTGACTTTGCTTGTCACCAGGTCACAAAAGGAGATCACATGACCCCAGGACACTGCCACCATCATAAATGTGAGTCAGTTGTCAAGCATCCAAATGTAAATCATGTGACCATGGGGATGCTGCAATGGTCATAAGTGTGAAAAATGGTCCTACGTCACTTTTTTCAGTGCCATTGTAACTTCGAACGGTCACTAAATGAACTGTTGTAAGTTGAGGACTACCAGAATAGAATAGAATAGAATAGAATAGAATAGAATAGAATAGAATAGAATAGAATAGAATAGAATTCTTTATTGGCCAAGTATGATTGGACACACAAGGAATTTGCCTTTGGTGCATATGCTCTCAGTGTACATAAAAAGAAATAGTGAAATTAGCCTCAATATATTCTATATAGCTTATAGAAAATACATAAAAGATAATGTAGTTTTAATAAGAAAACATTAATTTCTGAAATAGTTGGATGGATTTATAATGTACAATTCCTTATATATTTGGTAAACTGAATAATAAAAATCTTTCCCAGACTTTGAAGGCTTGATACCAAAAACACAATCAACTCTAATTTTCCAGTGCTTTGTGTATTTATTCAGTTGGGGTCAGTCTGATTAATTTTAAGTTGAAGTGTTCATACAGATTCAAGACCATCTAGTACAGTGATGGCTAATCTTTTCCGGACCGAATGCCCAAAGCAGGCGCACACGTGTGCATATTCCTGAAATACAATGCATGCGCAACCCCACGCAAGCCCCCCACCCCACGCACGTGCCCCGCCTTGTGCATGCGCATGCCCCTACATGTGCCCCACCCCTGCGCATGTGTGCATGGCCCCCCGCATGTGCCCCATCTCCAGCCACATGCGAGGCAGAGACCCAACGACCACCTGGCTTGTGGGAGGCTCATATTTATTGTATTTATTATTTATTGGTTTGATTTATATGCCGCCCTTCTCCGGAGACTCAGGGCGGTTTACAATGCATTAAGCAATAGCCTTCATACTTTTGTATATACCTACTTAGTAGGGCCCCCCCTTTTTTATACAAAGTCAGCTTATTGCCCCCACAATCCAGGTCCTCATTTTACCTACTTCGGAAGGATGGAAGGCTGAGTAAACCTTGAGCCTGGTGAGATTTGAATTTGCAGTAATTGCAGGCAGCTGGCAGCTAAGTGCTACTTAACAGCATTTTAGTCTGCTGCACCACCAAGGCTCCTCTATGCATGCATGCGCAGTGGAGCTGAACTGGGGCGATGGCTCGCGTGCCCACAGAGAGGGCGCTGCGTGCCACCTGTGGCATGTGTGCCATAGGTTCGCCATCACGGATTTAGTAGGTTGTTTAGTTGAACTGTCACTCAGATATGACATGGAGATAGAATGTCTATGGAGACTGGAAAATCACCTTTGGGACATGGAAACAGAGCACTTTTTTTTTAAAGTGTGATAAAATGGATGCCAAATTTTTAAAGTAATAGTCATAACACAATAATGAGAAGAATTATGGAACAAATTTATAAAATTTACCCCACATTACTATTTAAGGGGAAACTGATATAAAATGTTTTACATATGGTATACAACCCCATCAATAATTGCTAAGTCATAAAGTAATAAATGCTGGAAATGCCATGAGACATAAGGCACAGAAGAGGGTGTACTTCCTGAGAACGCTCAGGAAGATTAATCTATCTCAGCATCTACTTCTGTCCTACTATTGCAACACCATTGAGAGTGTCCTGACATACGGTATTCTTGCATGGTATGGGAGCAGCTCTGTAGTGGACAAAAAAGCTCTACAGAGAATCATTAAAACTGCCCAGAATATCATCGGGCTCCAGCTACCAGCCCTGGACAACATCTTCGAACCTCGCTGTTTGAGGAAGTTGCATAACATTCTCAGAGACTCTTCCCATCCTGCTTACAATCTTTTTGGACTGTTGCCTTCTGGCATAAGATACAGAACAATTAAAACTCAGACCACACATTTTCTGAATAGTTTTTATTCCAGAGCTATAATTTCACTCAACAATGAACTAAAGGGCCTCCATCAGTGAGTTGTTGGACAGCATTACTTGGTCTGTTGTGTGGATGTTTGGATGATTTAGGGGTGGGAATTGTGGTGGGTGGGAGTGTGTTTGAGGATTATGTGTGCTGGACCTGGTCTTTGGGTGTTAAGTGAATTTCATTGTATGGTTATACTGTATATACATGTACAATGACAATAAAGTTATTTTTATTATTATAAGGAACATTTTACCATATATGATAAACAAGGAAAAACCCCTCCAAAGTACTTGAAAGAAATACACATCATTATTCAGAGAATTTTAGATATCATATTTGAAATGAAACCACATTCTTTTTACTAGGCATAATTCTTAAATATACTAACAAAAATATCACAATTTACTAAATAAATATTCATAGCTGCAGGGATCAACTTAGAACAACATTAGAAAAGAGTTATTGATGATAACTTGGTAAGAATTTAAAGGTAGACAATATGTAGTAATGGCAAAATTAAGAGTGTGTGTTTACAGCAGAAGTTTTACCTCATTCAAGCAAGAACGGTTTCCATACTTAGACCATAGCAAGGTAAATTATAAGTATTCAGAATATGGCTATTAAGGGGAAAAAGAACTGATGAAAGAACTGAATTAATAAATATACAAACATTTTAAATGTTTAGAGATATTATATATCTGTCAAGTACGACAAAGGGAAAGTTAGAAATTAAATATAATATTTTTAGTAGCTTTTCTTTTTGTTTTGTTTTTTAAAGCAACAAATAGTGGAAATTCTGGCATTTAGCTCAAAGATTCAACTCTT